CGTAGAAATTTGAAATTCCTTGTGGTTTTCTAATAAAGAAACTGGTGTAAATTTTAGTCATACTTTAGAAATTTGAAATTACTTGCGTTTTGCTAATGAAGAATGATGTTGCGTTGAACTGTCTTAATGTTCCAAATCAAATTTTTTTAAATTAACATTATCATTTTCATAAAATCAATATTGTATTGCTGAAACATCGTCTTTCACATATGTGGCTTGATTTCCCAACGGGAAGTATTGAAAGCTTATTGTCATCGTCCTACAATACATTAAATCTAGCTATTGCTGCATCTGTTCCGATCAAGCAGTGCCAATCTCGAAGCAGGTATCCCCCGTTATTTAATAAGACAACCACATATTACAAGAATAGAAAAAACACGCTATTCAAAAAATATTTGAAAAGTGCCTCTGCGCTCAACTATTTCGCTTACTCGGTGGCGAGGCATAGATTTAACTCCCACCACCACCATGATTACTGCAGATACCTTCAGTTCATTAATTCCTCTCTGTTTGCTAATCGTAAATACTTTTTTAAATTTGTTAACTCTAAAAGTAAAATTACCACATATCCCTCTCATGTTTCTTTTAATGGCTCTGATTCTTCGGATGATTTTGAAATCTCAAATCTGTTTGCTGAATTTGCTGAGGTTTTGTTTAACTTCATCACCTCGGATGAATTCCTCGTTATTTCTGGCGTACCTCAAGGAAGTCACTTAGGTCCTATTTTATTTAGTTTATACATTAACGATCTTCCATCGGTAGTTAATTCCAGTCAGATCTTAATGTACGCTGATGATGTGAAACTGGTTTCTTCCTTCTCTGTTGAATCGCAATCACATCGGCTTCAAAGTGACTTGGATAATTTTGTTGCATTCTGCTCTTTGAGTCTTCTGAAACTAAATCTGAGTAAATGTAAGAAGCTTTCTTTCCCAAGAGAAAGTCATTCATTACTCAGTATTTCATAGATTCGTATAAGTTGGAGACGTCGATTCGATCACAGATTTAGGCGTTCTAATTGACCATAGGTTGCGTTTTAACTTGTATATTGAGCTCCCGATAAACAAAGCTAGGTCTGCGCTTGGTTTTATAAAAAGGTGGTCCAAAGAGCTTGATGATCCCTACATTACGATAAGACTGTTCATGTGTTTGGTTAGACCCATACTCGAGTATGCCTCTGTTGTGTGGTCTCCTTCATATAAGTGCTATGTAGATTCTATTGAATCTGTTCAAAAGCAATTCTTGTTCTCTTCCTCCCTATGAAAATGCTTCTGCTATCCCTACCGTCTCTTGAGAAACGTAGATTTGCTCTTGGCGTTTCCTTTATAATCAAAGTAATGAATGGTACTGTTGACTCGCCTTCATTACTTGGTGAACTAAGCTTTAATGTCCCCAACCATTTCTCTACGCACTTTATCTTGGTTAAGCTTAGTCAGTATAAATATAATTATGAGGTGTTTAATCCCTTCAGAGTTGTTTGCAACAACCTAAGTGACGTCTTTAAAGTCCATTAAAGCAACATTGCTTAATACGCGCGATTTACCTATGTCGTCATTAAACTAGCTTTGAATCTTAAAAAATCGTTACGATTCGAAAATGAATTGTTGTTAACTATTATCGGTTGCCAAGCTTATGCATGCTTGTGATGGCTTAGGGGTTCATTTGCAATTTGGTCCTGTACCGGTTGTAAGTGTGGCTCTATACTGGTTGTGTACATGCCTTTTTTTCCTTCCCTCTTTTTGTTTTTTTTGTACTTATACTAAGTGGTAATAATAATTAATATAAGTTTTGCTTTAAGTGCCAATTAAACTCGACTGTTATTTGTTTAGTTGAGTTTCATGTATAAGTAGAATTAAAATAAATAAATAAGAAACTGGTGTAAGTTTAATTCATATTATAGAAATTTGAAATTCCTTGTGTTTTTCTAATAAAGAAACTGGTGTTAGTTTTATTCATACTACAGAAATTTGAAAAACCTCGCGTTTTTCTAATAAAGAATCTGGTGTATGCTTAATTCATACTACAGAAATTTGAAATTCGTTGTGTTTTTCTGATAAACGGGTGTAAGTTTTATTCATACCATAGATTGAAATTCCTTGTGTTTCGATCAACAAATCGGTTGCTATTTTTATGTTCTCAGTGTATATCAACGGTGTGGCATATAAATGTTTAGAACAATATATGCCGGTATAGTTGTAAAAATCGAAAGTATACGTTTGTACCGTACGATTGCCTTTATCACTGGTTGTTGCACGAGTTCCCCTTGTGGCACTGTTGTAATCAATAAACGATTATCGCACATAATTGTTACCCGATTTAGAGAAACAAATTTGATAAAACTGGTGGCTTCCCCTTCAAAGGGTAAATGACCAATTTCATGGCGAATTATCTCTTTGCCGTTTAACCACTGGAATTAAAGACAACATTGCCAATCACCATGCCGGCATATAAGCTGGCTTCATTCAAAAATATTCTTAAAAGAACGAATGCATCGTTCAGATTAAACTATTTATTCCTATACACCTCATTTACCTTAAAACTCGGAATTTGGCGATATGCAATAGTACATTCCAGTAATTAAGGCACAAATGTGACCACTCGTTACTGGTGGTAATAAACAAAAAAGGAACAACCATGGATTACTAACAACTTTTAAAGAGATATAAATTGAAATAGTTGCAATAATTCTGCTAATTAAATAACCTGCAAAAATGTTCTGATTAAGAAAGATAAAAAGAAAGAGAACATTTTTTAATATCTTTGTTAGCAGTAAATATAGTGAAGAGCATCGGACCTCTGCTTTTCCACTAAGGTTTCTACTTGACGATCTTCATGTATCAGGCCCAATAAAAACGCTGTGACAGTTGAACGCAGAATTTTGAAGAAGCGCCGTCAAAAATGTTTATAAAAATTCTTTTAAATCTTTTAGTTTTTTTTTTTATATACCATACTCCACTTGTCGTACAAGGGTGTACTAAGTTAGTGCGTTGAAATAAAAGATAATTCTTTCATCGAGCGGAGGAGCTGACGCGCGAAGAACCCTACTCCTTAGAAGGACATTATGTTCGTATCCTTTTTCGCCCTAAAATTTTTTCCGGACAGCAGCATAAATAACATGAATCCGTAAATTTGTTCGGTGCATCACTCCGTTACTGCACTTTCCCGCTACCATGTGTTAGTGGTTAGCGGAGTAAAGCGTGTCGTAGGCGCTGTAGGCGGTGGATCGATGGTTTCGGGAACGCCGGCTTAATATATTTCAAGAATAGAGTCAGGTTGTCTTTCTCGTTCACTGCAGCTACTCCATCGTTCTCCTCTTCATAAAAGTCTTCTGATAATAATGTCAAAAAATAAGCAAAAGACATATAAAAATTTAATTCCACCAAAATTTGCAAACACCCAAAGAAGTAAATAATGAAAAATTGTAGAAATTTATTTACGTTTGTGTTAAAGTGACCAGAAAGCTGATGAAAATATTTTGGATGAAATTTTTCAAAAACGTCACTTTTTATTCTTGAATTTGATCCTTATTTTATTTTTCAATTTGCAGCTCAATTTTTTTTTCTGCTTTCGAATAAATTATTCATTTTTTTCAATTTTCTACAAATTCAATACACAAATTTGCACTTCAGTAGAAAATTCTTTGGTTTGTCGTAAACAAACCTTTAGCAGAGGTTTTTTGCAAATGGTGACAAAGTGTCAAGAATACCAACTTTTGCTACGCAGTAGAGATGCCTCAAAAAAGCAACTAGGAACACCATATGTTAACAGTAGAAACAGAGATGTTAAACTATCCAATTCAGTCCAATAAAAGCTATGTTGAAAACGACCTCCGAAAAAACAACTTTTAGTCGCCACAAGCATGTGAAAAATTGCACACTACAAAACGACGTGTCTTAAGACATGTTTTTATTTGTAACGTGAAAATAGAACGTACCTAAAGAAATATAATACTATGAAATAGGTAAAATGATCAAGAATACTGCTGAGTTTCCGCTTTCACTTTTTTATCCTCGTCTTAAATTAAATATAAGTATAATCGATTATAACAAAGTGAATAAGAAATAACACCTGGCATCAATTTTGAAATTTGGATCATTATTAATTATCAATTTATCAATGTAAACATAAGTGTAGATGATGCAAGTTGCTTGCTTATGAGAAAGCGAGTATAGTATTTTAAATTATGATATTTTAACCAAAACCTTTTCCCTTTAAGATGATAAAGCAGGAGCACAAGAAAAGACTTCTTTACATGACAAAGCAAAAGACAATAATAATAATATATTTTATTGAAAAGGTATATGTGTACTAAGAAAGAAAAATTAAAAAAAAAAAAAAACCAAAATGGTATTGCCATTCACGATTTCGTCTGAACATGCCGGCCCCCTTGAATGGACTCGGTCCGTTCAATAGGTAGACGTCGAACCTTAGTAGAAGTTCTAGGTATTTCGCTACTGGAGGTTTTAACAGTGATAATCCGCACAACCCCGTCATTGCCAGAATGAATTTCAGTATCACGACCCAGGCGCCATTTTTGAGGAGGAAGATTGTCTTTCTCTACAACAAAATCGTCCCCAACCGCTAATGACATACGACCTTTTGTCCACTTGGTTCGATTTTGCAACGTTTGTAAATAATCGTTAGACCATCTATCCCAAAACTGTTGCAGATAATATTGCAATCTTTGATAACACCGTAAATGGCTTACGTTGTTGACATCTCTTAAGTCGGGATCAAGTATGGTTTTTAAAGCAGAGCCAATAATAAAATGACCAGGGGTTAGAGCTGGTTCGTCATTTGGACTCTCAGGCGCGGTAGTGATTGGTATTGAATTTAATACCGCTTCAATTTGTATTAAAGGTGTGTTGAATTCAAAAAAGTTAAATTTCGCATCGTGTAGTATCCTTTTTAGATGAAATTTAGTGGACTTCACTGCAGCCTCCCAAAGGCCACCAAAATGCGGAGAGCGTGGAGGTATGGTTTTCCAAATTATGCCACGTGAAGCACATTCATTAAGTATAATATCTGTACTTTTAAACATTTTGTAAAGTTCGTGCAACTCTTTTTTTGCATCAATAAAATTAGTTGCATTGTCACTGTAAATGGTTGAGCATAGGCCACGTCGCCCAATGAAACGCCGTAAAGCAGCTAAGAAAGGTTGAGCAGCTAAATCTTCTACCAACTCTAAATGTATGGCCTTTGTGCAAAAACATATGAAAACAGATATATAGCCTTTTGTAGAAACAATACCACGTTTGCCATAATATATTTCAAATGGACCACAAAAATCGACACCTACTACATTAAACGGTCTTGATTCTTGAACTCGTAAATCAGGTAAATCGCCCATAAGATGGTTCTGTTTAGTTGGATTAGTCCAAAAGCATAAGACACAACTTCGACGTATAGATCGACAGATAACCTTGCCATGGATTGGCCAATAAAATTGACGAATTATGCTTAGTAATGTTTGTGGGCCAACATGATGATTAATTTTATGAGAGTAGCGTGCTAGTGTATACGTAAAAGCGTGATTTTATGGTAATAGCAAGGGATCTTTACTGTTGAAGTCCATTACAGTTTCTTAATCGGCCACCCACTCTTAGGAATGGTGATAAAGAATGTTTATGACTTTTGCCATTAAGGTTAGAACCCTTTTGTACAGCTGCAATTGCAGCATGAAAAGAAATGATTTCTATGTATTTGATAATTTTTAGTCGAGATGCGTCAAGTTCTGTAGCATCCAATGAACCGTATTTTCTTTTAGCCTTAAATTCACAATTATATATAAAACGCAGCAGGTAAGCGACTGTGTTAAGCAAACGTACATAATCGTTGCGAAACTTAATACTAATGATTAAATCATGCTGTTGTAAAATTGTTGTTGTTAATATCATCTTTATAAGTTTTCTTTCTAATATGTTATCATCGTATTTTAACTTGTATGGAAATTGTGACCAAATAGACGAAGCTAACGTTAAAAAATTTGGCCCGTGAACCAAAATGTTGTATGCACTAATTCAGCTGGTAACACACCACGAGATAATATATCAGCTGGGTTTAAATTGGATGGAATATGTCTTCATTGCGAGCGTGTTGAAACTTGTTGAATGATTGCCACCCTATTAGAAATAAAGGTACTCGAATTGCATGAGTCTTCTGATATCCAACTCAATATTATAGTTGAGTCATTCAAGAAATGTTGTTAAATTGTATGAAATCGTAAACTTCTTGAACTTTCTTAACGAGTTGTACCATTGTTACAGCAGCGCAGAGTTCTTATCTTGGCAAACTACATTTCTTAATAGGTGCCCCCTTTGATTTGGCACAAAGCAAATTTGAAGTTATTTTCGTATCGTTATTTATACATCTGATGTATACACATGCACTATATGCGCTTGCTGAACTGTCAGAGAACGCATGAATTTCATATTTTGCATCAGGAGTGAACGCTAAGCGATCCACTTCTAAATCGATTAAATTACATAATTGCCGTTTGACCACGCCATCTGGTATTTAATAGGCAATTCGTCATCACAATCCAAATCTAACCGCCACAATTGTTGAATGAAAATTTTAGCCCTTATTATGACTGGCGGTATTAGGCCTATCGGATCAAAAAATTGTGAAATTTCAGATAAAATTGTTCTTTTAGTATAATTTTCGTTGAATTTTATACCAATCTTGTAAAGAAATTTGTCCTTTGCATGATCCAAAACAATTCCAGGAGTTTTGATCGCATTTGAATTTTTAATGGTGAATAAAGTTTCACGATTTTCTTTAGGAATGTGTTTAATCAAATCTTGATGAATTGCACATCATTTGTTTAGGCTGAAACCTCCTTTAGATAAAATAGAAATTAATTGTGCTTGTAATTGGATGGATTCATGAAGTGTGTTGCAACTCGTTAGTAGATCATAAAAATTTGTGTTTATAGCATTTGCAGCTAACGGAAAATTATGTAGTTCATCAATAGCTAATTGTTTTAATGCGCACGTGGCTAAAAATGATGCAGACGCAGTTCCATATGTAACTGTAGTTATTTGGTATAGCTGTACTGGTTGATTGCCTTGTGAACGCCATAAATGCCAAAATGGTATCGCCTGTCATCAGGATCGAGAGCAATTTGACGATACATTTTAGTTATATCAGCTGTGAATACATAAGTGTAAGATTGAAACCGTAAAGCTACCGTAAATAAATCAGGTTGAATTACTGGCCCAACCATAAGAAGCTCGTTCAAAGATTTACCAGATGTGATTTATGATGACGCATCAAATACGACGCGTAACTTTATTGTGGAACTCGAAAGTTTATTGGGGCAGTGGTGCGGTAACACGTAATGTGATTGTGAAAAATCAAATGATTGTACAATTTCCATATGTGAAAGTTGAATATATTCATTTATAAATTTAGTATAATCACTACGTAATTGTTCATTTGTTTCAAACTTTCTCTCAAGTGCCAGAAAGCGTTTAAAAGCAATGGCGTAAGACTTACCCAATAAAGATATTGATGATTTGAAAGGCAACTTTACACCAAATCGTCCGTCTGGCAACCTCGTAAAATTATTTTGAAAATGTAACTCAGACTGCTCTTCTTCTTGTGATAATTTTGGCGAACATTCCTTAAAACTTTCAATTTCCCAAAATGCTTTAATAGCATCAGACAGGTGATTATTTTGTTGAACGTTAGACATTTGTAATGCGTTGCACTTGACATATGCAATTGAATTTGCATGGTGTGGAAGTGTCCCCGCGAAAATCCAGCCTAAACGTGTATTAGTTAGTATGGGACGATTGCGTCCTAAGGCAATTTTACCATTCTCCAAAATATCAAAAAATATGTCAACACACAATACCATGTCGACTCGTTGTGGTATATTAAAACGTTCATCTGCTAATGGTATATGTTCCGGTTTGTTCCAGTTTGAAATATCAATTTTTTTTTTTAGTAAAGGTGTTAAGGTTTTCATTGTTGTGTACCAATGATTTAAATTCATCGACCCAAGTTATCCATGTAGTAACATCACCAGAAAATTCGCGTAATTCGATTTTTGGCAATTTGTCAGCATTTGAAGCATTTCTTTGGAAAATAAATTGCAAATTTATTACCTACACTTGCTTTCGCTAGCATTGGCGTCTAAGTTGGTGCTTCATCTGTTGTGTTCCGAATTTTCTCCTTAGATCCTCTCGTTTCTCGTTTAGATCATCTAAATCTTTAGCCTGATACAAAACGGATTTGTTCTGTTTTCAATTAGGGATACAATTTGTTGGCCCACTTCCATCAAAGTATACAAAGTATACATGTATTGTTGGTAACTTCTCTTGTCGTTTTTCTTACGTTTTTGTATCACAGGGTGGATTTCTGCGAATGGTAATTCTATTCCAAATTCTTTAATAAGAACCTTCTTAAGTAGTGCCCAACTTTTTAAACCTTGTTGGGATCGAATGGATTATATAATTGCTCCTTTTAACAATAGTTTGGCGTGTATGACCTTTTGCAAGTCATTACGATTCACTGGTTTAGTGTGATCGAATCCGTTAAATTGTGATAATGAGTCTTCAATACTTTTGAATGTAAAGTCAAGAAATACATGCGCAGAAATCTTTATACAGATAGACGGTCGGTCAAAACTTTCTTACACCAGCGGTTGATGCTATGCCTTGGACTATTCCACACCGTGCCTTACCTACGGTCAACTTCGACCTTGATAATTTTTTGTGAGAGGCTACTAAGTTGGGTCCTCAGAGCTCTAAGCCAGCTTTCCTCTCATAAAAGCCACAAAAGTTGGAATAACCAAGGAAGTATTTGAATGCATATAAATGTATTCGTTAGCTTACGCTGTTAAAAAAAACACAATAAAAAAGGAGCCATATTCTGACGATAGTTGGGTTCTGGTACATGTGATTATGATTGTGCAATGCACTAAATATGACGTCGCATATACAGACGAAGTGATTTTTTTACACGATTCCTGTTATCTTGTCAGCGTTGCTTTGGTTGAGTTGTGCATGTGTTTTATTATGCCGATACTTCCTAATGGTATTTCACAATTTCACGTCTTAGTTAGTATTTACACATAAATTAAAAAAAAAATAGTACTGGCTTTAATTTACAGATTTATTTTTATGGCGCTATGTTCCTCTTTAAGAAATTTTTTTACTTTGCTTATATTGTAAGGAAGCGTTTTTGCTTCCTTACGAAATACAAGTCCGTCCGCTTAAATATCCACCCGCATTCCGCAACCAGCAAGTCCGATCTGGCCACGCACATCGTTCTGTAAACAATACACGAGCAGCCCCTTCTAACTTCAAATGCAAAATCATAAATTATGCTTGCAAAGTTAACATCATAAAAACACATACCTATTCTTGTACCTATTCTCTCAAAACACACACTAACTTAAGATCATAAAAACACACACCTATTCTTGTAAAATTAAAATTGTCTCAAACACACACTAAATATGCTCACACTTGTAGAAAGAGAAAATGTATAGACGCATATTGCACAGGCCTACGCTAGTTAATCCATAGGAACACACACTCCAGCACCAAACGAAGGGTAAAGAGAATGAAGAAAACTTGCTTGAAATGGCTCGTAGGCATAGAACATGTAAAATCATGCAAAACAAACGAACTTAGGCACAAAACCATAGGTAATATTTACACAACCGCCAAAGCGCAGAATATGTATGAGTACAATCAAATAAAGTTTGTCAGACATGACTCAAAGCCATAGAACTTGTAAGTCATATAACTCAAACCCAAGTCAAACACAGGTATAAAACCATATGAAATAAGTACAACATATACAAGAAGAAATCTGTCTGCCTTAAAATTGTATAAGCGAACGATAGAAACGCTTACATAATACGCATTACGGTATAAATCCCGCTAGGTCACTTAAGCATATAGAAACCCTTATGCTACGCAATGCATAAGCATACTCGCTCATGCAAACGCACATACCCAAAGAATCACGCATAGCATTTTATAGTACTGTTAGGTCTTAGTAACATACAGAAATCTGAATGCCTTAAAAACTGTATTAGCGAACGATAGGAACGCTTACATATTACGCATTACTGCATAAACCCCGTTAGGGTATATAATCAGGTAGAAACCCTTATGCGCTACAATGAATATACGATCAGACAAAACAAATAAACGTTAGAGTCACACATAGCAACGCACGCCAATACCCGTACGCGCAAAGAGCACAAACACACACACAATATTACACAAAATGTACAAAGACACGATCACACATGTAGAAACACACAAAAAAAAAGCAAACAAGCATATGCAAGCACAGTGGAGGAAGGCACAAGCACTCACATACCTAACGGTGATTGAATCACGCGATTTGGTACCTGGGTGCCTGTTGCGTCGAAATTTGAACAAACATAATAATAAGCTAGATGTAAGTGATATCAAGTTATATATAAGCAGGATCATGCAAGTCGTAACTAAGGTTGCGACTGCAGCTTACTACCTAAGCATATGTAAACACACAGAACATGTTGGCAACAGGACAAGCGAGCGAGACTCAGGCAATAAAACAACAGCGCATCGCACAGACTCGTTCATTTTGGTGTCATAGCCGTCTAAGGAGGTAAGTGCCCACGGACAAATCGACAAGTTGACCTTTATTAAGAGTTTTTTTTTTTGACTTACGGAGAGGGGATGTGCTGGTTTAGCTTAATCGCCATCCCTGAAGGACTTTTTAGGACCATTGACTTACGGATAGGGGATGTGCTGGTTTAGCTTAATCGCCATCCCTGAAGAACTGAGAGACGTTTTTTTCGTTATTTTCGGACTCACACACCAACCAGGGACGAACCTTCGGGCCAAGGCAGCTATGACACTAGCAACGAACCCGGTTCTTTTCTTTTAGCGCCCCGCGATATTAAAAGCGAAACGAAAAGGAAGTAAAAGTTCTAAACCCGCAAGTAAAAAGCAAAACGGTAATAGCGCGACAAGTCGGGTCACCTCGCTGGTTCCTTGCCATAGCCCAGTTCTACACAAATTTGATGTACTTCTATCCAGTAAAGAGGAAACAATAAATCTAGGAAACTAAACGCCATTCCCCCCGAAGATCCTGATTATTTTTCTAAATTTTCTTGCAACGAATCCTGGATTGACTGAGTCATACCCCGCCTAAGGAAATTCGTTACAATATTTAAAATAATAATAAAACTTCACACTTGGAAGCTCCCAAACTGCCCCAACATTTTTTGGATCCTTTCAAGTAATTTTCTCATTTTCCTTTTAGTCGCTTCGGCTTAAAACAGCATTTTTACAAAGTCGAACATATCTAATTCGAGAAGAATCTCTTTTAGGTATATTTTATCACATACAGTACACACCCTTAATATATTCATAAATGTTGTATATGATTTGATGTTACTTTACTGTCTACGTTTATGGCGTTCGTTTAATTTGCCTATAAATATTCTTTTATTGGAATTAAATATAACTGACTGTAAGTGTTTGCAAACATTGCACAGCAAATTAAAATCATAAGCAAAGATTTGGGATACAATGTTCAAATAAATATTCCTATTTTATCTATCGTTAAAAATCTTCTGTTAATATAATGTTTATTTTTCTATTTTTATAATAGACTTATTCATCGTTTTCTTCACGTGTTTACATATATTGTGTTTGCACCCATATTCACGTGACCAATATTCAAATGACAAACGTCCACTATAAATTAATCATTTTTTCGAATCAGTTTATTTATTTCAGTTTCTTTAATTTATAATTAGCAAGAATCATTCATAGCAAAATACCGAATATCATTCACCCGCACAACTAGTCCTCAATTGCTCAAAAGCAAAACAATAAAAAGACAAGAGAAAACGTGTTGTCAACTAGCACCAAGATAGAAACAGTAGATGTTATTGCGATCAAAAAAAGCAGATGTTGTAAACATTTAGACGAAAGTTTGTAGCAAGGTCACTTAAAAGAAATATGGAAATCGCTAAAAGACTAGTTATACCTGCAATAAGTTCAAGTTTTTTTTTGACCACATTCTTCAATTTTGTTGAAGATCTTATCAGGTACACATTCGCTAATGAGAAAGGTAGTGGTCATCCTGCACTGAGATTGCTAAACACTACCACTATCATAATCGGGTATTATGGTAGACCAACCGTTTAGTAACTTAACGGCTTTGGATTTTTTATTTATTTATTTACATATGTAATTTAATTGCACTAATAACAGCCGAATAGAGTAGTAAAAATAAACCGTAAGCTAAACATCAGGACTGACTTTTATAAAGTAAAAATAAAGAATCAACAAAAATTAAATACATGTTATAAATAAACAATAACAAAGAAAAACAAAGTGTGTACAGCTATGTCCAAGCTAGGAGCGAATCGTTAGACCAATGGAAGCTTGCGAAAGCTTGGCCTCCAAAATTGGTGAACATAATTCGCTTAATTACGAACCACACGAAGCTCTGGAGATTAAAAATAAGCTTAGGTCTGTCGTAGACAAAACACGCATATTAAGGAAAGTTGATTTGAGTCCGAACTCAAGAAAGAATAATTTTTATCTGCATTGATGTAGTTTCATGAAAATAAAATTTCTGGAAGTATGGTTAGGAAGATTGCGATTGATCTCTTCTAATAAGGTGGGAAGACACACTAGCGACATTTATTAACTTAACAAGGAATGAAACACCTAGGATAAACTTTCAAGTTAGTAAGCTTAAAAAAACAGTCTATTTTCATAAAGTGAAAAAGAGACTAGCACAGCCCACGAAAAGCGAGAATTGCTTTTAAATTGATTCTATTGAATCCACGTAATATCTGCAAGAAAGAGAGCACACCGATCTATGCATATGCAAGTACTGATCTCAATAACCTCATGTATAAACATTCTGGTGCGTATGGGTAGTCAAGTTCTTCGGATCGCCGTTTAATAAACACATGTGCTGACCTAGCCCAATGTGTAA